TAACATTTACTATATGAAGCTTAAAGAAATGAAAGTGATACAGCGCCTGGCTCACTAACTTTCTGTGATGGCCTGTACCAGCATCACCGCCGGGGCAAAGACACCGATTATTCTTGTAAATTATGGAGTGAAAGTTGGTTTGGATGCCTGATTGATCTCTTGGTACCCAATAGGACACTTTGGTGATTCGAACCGGTCATATTGTCACGATGAAGCTCCTGACCGCAGAACAGAAATTGTCTAGAAATTTCGCGAAAGGGGTTCTTTGACTTTATAACCTTCGATCAGCGACCACTCTGGAGCCCTGACCTAAATCCCATGAATGTCTCAATGTGGTTGGCCTCTGAGATGAAAGCATCCTTTAGCCCAAACAAGAGAAGAAATAATCTCGAAAATGCTTAGCAAAAAGCCGGGACCATTTCGATGATCCTAGCTGCGTGCCACCGTCAATGCCGTCCATGGTCGTCTTTGGGGTTGGGTGAAAGCAGAAAGCAACAGATCCCAGTCTCAATGTACAGTTTTGATAAGAAATTTGTGCTAAACCCTTTCATGGAATTGGTTTGCTCTATTGGCTTTCTATTCGTTTTCTGCGAAGTGATTTCTGTGTAATCATAATTTTGGCCCACCCTGTATATATATTAACATACGGTCACATTTGAAAATTTGAAGATTTCTCGAGTTCTTAATGATAGAGCCGGTGTGAAAATGAACCATCGGGAGCATTTTTGACACCAAATGTTTTTTCTACCGCACAAGCAGTGTAGCTCAAACAACAAGGAGGTATGAGATATTTACGAAGGGAATGCTCTATCAAAACACAAACGCGGGATGAAATCACTCTTGAAGATCTGCAACGGTCGAGGAGACCACCCTCACTTGATAATGGCGAATCAAAATGTTCATCGAAAAGTTCCGGTCCATACTACTCGTGAAATAGCGGTTAAAATTCGACTATCCACGACCGTTTGGTAGAATTTCATGTTTATAGCATATGAAATAGATAAACAAGTTTGGTTGGGTATCAGCCTCAGAGCGTTTGAATACCTCACACACTAAGTGAGATTAATTTGTTGGATCGCGTTGCCGTGAAGATCAAACGTGGAGAAGGCCAGCATTCTCTGAAACGCGTAATAACGGGAGATTAGGATTCCACTATGGGCGACACGGGAACGAATGTATAGTGGTCCCAATGAACCGTCTATAACCTTTTCAAAGACGTACATTCATACGCTGAAGATTGATCTCTATTGCTGATGGAATTAAAGGACGTTACCTAATGTGAGCTGCGAACGCACAGCAGAATGATCCTTTCTGAAAGATACTGTAATCGGCTGTATATTTCGAAAGCAGCAATAGTAAAGGAGCGCTCAAAAGTTGCCTATTGTAAATTGGGTAGCCTTTTATAAAGGTTTGGTCTTCTTCAGGGAATGTTACACCTCACGTACTTCTGACGACTCCTTAGAAATTGCTGGAGTTTGATGGGTCTTCCTACCGCAACCCTCATATAACCATCACAGTATCATATGTGTTCAGATCTCCACAGAATTTGTTTCGTGAGAAATCATTCGATTCTCTGAAAGACTGCAAAATGTACATAGAACAGTTTTCGATCCTTAGTCTTTAACCCATTATGAAAGGGGGGCAATGAAAAATCCCGAAAGATGGTGAACTGTTATTGAGCAGACTGGAGTATTCATTATCTCGTAGAAAGACTTGTTCTTCGAGAAATTTTCAGTTTTAGTCGACTTCAAAAATCGGTGGAAACTTCAACGGCAACCCAATAAAATAAGTAGAACTGGGATTAAAACAGATAGATGTAGTTTTTTTGCGTTGCACAGTGGCTGCTAATAGCACTTTTGCTTCACTCCTCTTGCTGTATGAGATATAAGCCTCATACTGCTTCAATTAACAGGTATGGCTAATGCTGTATATAAGTGTGTTTGCATTTTGATGCTGTTTGCCAATATTCCTTTTTATCTCATCTCTACGTCACCAGTAAAGCTTTGTAAGATTTGAAAGTGAGTTAAAGTATATGTTTGCCGGCACCGAAGCATTCTTGGAATTTATGACTACTAAAGCTTCTGCTCCCAGTCCTAATCACTGCCGCCACCTCCTCTGCCGTCGTCGACGTCGACGTAGTGTCAATTCGCCCGAAGTGACCCTTCCGGGCACGCGCTCAGCATAGGCCACGCCCTCCTTGACAGTGCGATGCCAGCACGCCATGGACGTCGGTCTGAACATCATCGTACTGATCGTCCTCTATTCGACCCTAGCCGTTACCGGCCTACTGGGCAACATTTGGGTACTGATTACTGTCTCATCACAACTACTCGGTTGTTGCAGTGCGACAAATCAACGAGGACGTGTAGTGAAGCCGAACACCCAATCATCAGCTTACATCTATCTTCTACTGCTCTCGGTAGTGGATTTGGTGTCTCTAATCCCTGTTCCTATGTTGGTAGCCGATCTACAGGAAAACGAGTTTATTTTCGGTATCGCCCTCTGCAAACTGCTGTGGTTCAGTGAAGGCACGAACAAGACACTGTCGCCTATGATTTTAACGGCTTTGTCGATCGACCGCTACATAGCTGTTTGTAAGCCAGCGTTGATCTGGATGCGACAAACCAAATTCGCTATCTTCGTTGTGTCTGTGTGCGTCGTGGTCTCACTGCTGTTCATCACTCCGATCACAGCACATGCAAAAATCGCAGATATGGAAGACTTCAACGGTATGGTGTACCGGAAGTGCACCTTAGGCGAGAATCTGTGGTTTGATCTTGTTCACACACTCATTTGCTATGTAACACCGCTATTGCTGATATTCTCGGTGTACATTGTGATATTGGCAAAATTATTTCGTCATACTCGTTATTCGACTGTTGGCCGTAAGACGAGCATATCACTTTCGCGAGTGGTGAAGTGCTCGGTATTGGTAGTCGCGTTCTACTTCATCTGCTGGACGCCGTATTGGACGATGCGAATTCAAGCGTTAGCCCACGGTTAGTTGTATTCAAATAATGTAAACGTGTTCTTTTTTTGCTAAATCAATGTGTATCTCTCTGTGCCCAATGTAAGCTGGCGGGAGTGAGGTGCCCTATTGCATTGTGTTGATTTTCCTGCTGTTTTCGGTGCCGTCGACGTTCCTTGTCATTTGCTCGCTTCATGCTAGCCCATTTTACAGGATTAGAGAGCACGGAGCTAGGTTTGCTAGCCCTTGTAATAGTTTAGGCGAGCTATTGAAACCTGAGAAGAGGATGCGCGGATGTGGATGAAAGCTTCCAAGAGCCGCTGTTTGCACGTGGCGAATTCTTTCACATTATCGCGCTGCTAATGTGACCTTCACACGAAGGAAAAACAGAAGCTGAGGCGTGGCGCGTTCAAAGACAGTGAGTCGCTTCATACCTTGTGAATAAGCTTTGGAGGAAGATTGTGCTGCCAGCACTCATTGCTGTCAATCGATATTCTTTTTGATGCGTAACAGTTTTTGGTATCCACTCGTTATGCCATATGCGAAGGCGATGGAACTACCTTAAAGTTTAATAGTTCACTTATCAGGAAGCGGGGCATTATCAGCTATGCAAAGAAACTGTGCGGAAAAAAAGGAGTCAATGAGAAATCAGTGTGTGTGTGTGATCGATTGTGTATTTACAGAGGCTGAGAAGAACGTGGGCGCCACATATGAGAACGGCACAAGGAGCGACGAATTTGATGAAGTAATAGGCGATGAGACATCAACACCAGTGAATGGCATCTTCATCATGTATTTGATGCATTCATTGCCATACGCTCAGAGCGCATTTAACTGGTTGTTCTACGCGTTTTTAAATCGTAATCTTCGTAATTCATCTGGCCGATACAATAACGGCGTTCGATCGGTGCCGATGACCAGCACGATCGTCGAGAACGGGCCGAGTTCGGCTAGTGGTCTAACACCGCTATGGAAGAATTTGCAACATGTTGGTAGTCAGCTGAAGTCGGCTAGTATTGACACTGGCAATGCACTGTTGAGGATGTCTCCATTCCATGCGCGCTCACGAATTCAATCGCGGATTCAATCAAGGTACGATATCATGGTAGTTCACGTGGCTTCATTAATTCTTCATCTTTTGATGCTTATCGACTGCTTACAGAAGCTCAACTTGTTTGGATTCGGCATATCTGGATCGCCTGATGCCACCATCAACTCTCATGACCTCATCGCTGCTGGATTTACAGCAGCGACCTTCGACGCTGATTCCGCGTCAGGAGCCATCGCTGGTCGGCAAGGCGCTGTCCTTTTCCGATCTGCAGCATTCTCGTCTGATCGATAAATCCAGTGAACCGACTCCGTCGGCAGTCTCAGAGAGTTCGTCAGTTGAATGGTTATGATCATGAACCTATTATGGATATTCCTGCGGAATCCGCTTAGTGCTTTTTCTTTTGTTATCATTCATAATCATCTTCACATCATTTTTTTCTGCTTACCCGTGATCGTTTCTCCCGTGTGGTCATTCCCGTCATATCATGGTTTATGAGACCAACTCCTCCGCAAATCATGTACCTTACATTACGTGCGCTCTCCAATAAGAGCAATTGGAGTCAATGATGGGTAAATACAATGCCAGTATATTTGTGTGTATTTTCCATATATTTTTCCGATTTTTTCTCGGCTCTTACTTCCCTACTAGAAGTTACTACGCGTGCGATCGTGGTGTCATACAAATCTAATCTGTGAGTTGGGTTTCTGCTGTGTACATAATCAGAACTCTGATATTTCTTTCGTTTGATCATTCAGTTCATAAATTGCAGTCGTCCATCATTTCTTCAACTTACTAGAAATTACATTTATATTTTCGGCTGCGTGCGCCTATGATGATTCTTTGACGTAAGTCGTCGTATTGGTGTGCATTGATCTCATGAACCTAGATAAATGAACCTAGATAAAACAATTTCTTCCTGAACTCTTGACCTATCAACTTTCAGAAGAAGAGGCGAAGAAATTGTTACCGATTTTCGTTCGGAATTCTTTACTTCTGCTCTTATTCATGAACATCTATGGTCTGTTGCTGTCCAGGCTCATTACAATACGTTGCGAAAAAATAACGAGAATTTCGGCGGATGAGGGTCGGTAGCTAGCCGTCTCGTCTGTTTGCACAGTATCGGCTTTCATGGCTATTGTCGCCCGCTCTATGTTCGCCGTCGTTCAGTGCCTGGCGATCTTATGTTTGAGCAGAGCATGGAGATTTTGGGCGAACGCCAACGTATTCAGTATATCCTCGTCATTCATTGTGCTGCGTATTGAAGGGTCGATGAGATGTCGGCCGGGTAAAATCTGAAGTATCAGGGATGTTTTAAACTTTGTGCATGTTCAAATATATCGTCTTTTCAATTTCAGACTTCAAACGATCCACGATGTAAGGACGTAACAGTGATAGCCTTCATTATCTATCCCGCAGCAGCTAACTCGTTCAATGTGGACTCGCTTCGTGGACAAGCCGTCTGTAAGCAGCTCAAGGATACCATCGCGAAAATTAAGGAGAACGTGGCAAATCGCATGTTTGAAGAATCAGTTCGGTGAGTGAGCATTCCGTTCGTTCATTCATCGAAAGCAACCCGACGGTTTTACGGGATTGAGGCTTGACGAACATTCAACTCTAACGCCGAGGAGTGTGAAGGAGATCATGATTATACATCTATGACATTGAATATGCAAGATTATGAGGTGGAACTATGGTAATGCTAGTTTCCAGTAGATTTCTGAGTAAATTCTCAGAGCTTAGGCTTTGATTTTACTGTTGATTTTCTATCGTCTTGCGTTTTTCCAGTTAAATATTCTTCCTCTTTGTGCTAATGCGTGCGACTCATGGGACTTGTCTAGATGTATTAAACGCTGCCAGTTGCAGGATTTGATCTCCAGCGAAGACATGCCTCTATATATGCGATAGCTCTGCTTTACGAGTTCAATCTTGCTCAGTCTACTGTTTGCTGAGCGCAGCATAGCGACGCATCGTTTAATATGACCCCATCATTGCAGCCAATACGGTGATCTTACTTTCAGCCGGCCATCTCCATTCAACGCTTCTAGTGCACTCGGTGGGAAAGCGCGAATTAATCGCTCGGATTGCCTTTGCTTCCATGTTCGGCTGCTGATATAAAAAGGAGCAGAATTGAGTTTCTCTACCAATTAGCACTAGTCCGGGTTATTTGTTTGGCAGAATTAGTTACTCGGAGACTCGTGAGAAGAAATGGGTCCTTGCCTACGGATCATGTTCCAAAATCGCAATACTGGCAACTTCGTTTCGAAAAAGGTGTATGCGTAGGACCCACGTAGGGTACTTAAGTGTTGCTTCGCTTATACACGTTTTAGTCTTCTCATTGGCAAGTGAAATGCTAGGAAACCACCACTCATATGACTAGGTCAAGCATAGGCACCCTTTGCTAGTTTTATAGTAGAGTTATTACACTAAGGTATAATTGTTTTTTAATTTCAGAGGTAAAGTACCAGATCCGGAGGATTTGCTGCTTTCCGCAGAGAAAGTTCAACTAAAACGCTGTATCCTTGCGGCGAAGGTATAATCCGCATTTCTTATTCCTTTCTGTTCCCACGCTTAGGATACATCCTGCAACCACAGTCAGCTTTGGAGGTATTGTGTCTAAAAGTAGGAATAATGTACAGAGTGCTCCTGGACCTTCATGTTGAGCACTGAGGGAGTTGCGTTGTACGTGCTTGCGGCCCTGTCAGGCTACTGTACCCTTACGCCTGGATTTGTTCATCTGGAACACAACAAACGTGCCTTGTTTTGATGAGCGTGGTTTGAAGTCACGGGTCTCGCTCTATCGAATACGTCGATTCCTTGCTTACTACCCCTATTCGTTACAAAATGACTATTTTAGAATGCCTGGAGAGAGGATAACAGTTATTGGGCATTGTAGCCATCCATACAGTAGCCTTCGGAATTCGAAGTAGTTGCTTCCTGGGCGCTTTTCCAGGCCAAAGCTAACTTGCATGTAACTCCCATGCACTGTTTCTGTGTGCTGATGATAAGATTATTTTTTCGTCGAGGTGCTATACTAGAATTTGCTAATCCTTCTCCATGGGGTGTCTTATAATAGTTGAACCGATCGAGGGTTTCGTAAGGAAATGTTCATTATCGAAGATAAGGAACAAAATATTTTAGTCATCCTCTCTGCTATAGATATATCATGGAGAATTACATAGTACAGAGAATTATTATAGAGAATAACCATTTGTTCAATTTTTTCCTATTTTTGTTTTCTTGCTTTAAATAAAATCAAGCCATCACTTCGCATCATAATAGGAGTATGTACATCAAATTCACGACCATCTTACCAGTGCATAACACGCAATCTTCGTGACAGATATGGTCTTGCTCCAGCAAGTCGTAGAAGTCTGGAAAGGGAATTCAGAGGCAGATGCGAAGAATGTAGGTTCCGAACTCCGTTTCAGCCTCCGAGAAGGAAAGCAAAACGGAACAGCTGAGAGCCGCTCTGATTATGCCCCTCTTTCAGTCACACTGCCAAAAAATCTTCGAATCATTCTCACACTGAAGGCAAGTCCGAAGCAAGGAAACTGATGTGTTTAGTGTTCATTTTCCTCTTCACGTTAAATACGTTAGCAAAACAAACAGATCAGTTTTCATAAGTAGTTGCTCGTAATCTTCCAGATTTTACTCCGAATGCAAAAGTGATCGAAGTGCCGAAATCAACCAGCGTTGGATAGAAACTGAACGTTAATTCCGCATTGAATTGTGGTAGTTAGTCCAGTTATTGTGACACGGAACCCGTCCGTTTTCTTTTCTGGTGTAGATCGGTACAATGAAAAGAAAATATAATGGTGAAAATCGATGATGGCAAAGATAAGGATCCATGTTTCGATGACCCATAAAACTGGGCGTAATTCCCTACGCGTTTGTAGACAGCGATTAGGATGTTTTTACGTGATACTTAAAGTCAATGTCAAAGAGTCTGTTGCAACTTCAGTTAGATAAGGCATTCCGCCGTTTCCTTCCAGAGTGCGGTTCTCGTAGTGAGCTCACTGTGAAGAAAGCCAGATGAGTGGACGTGCTGCTCGCGCTAGTAGATTTTGTTCTCATACCCCTTTTGCACCATATTATTTTATATAGTAATTCAGTATTCTGAAAAATGCAGTGCACAGAATAGCGCTGGTAGTCATTTTGGATGAAATGTCCTTCAACGACTAGTTCATATCGTCAATTTTTATTCTGGGCACTACTTCACATACAACCTGAGGCGGGAGCTCTGAATCTTTGAACATTCCTCGCCATGCCCACTCATGGAGATTCCTGCTAAGAGATAATATGGTGTGGGTGTTAAAAGTCACTCTGGATGATTAGAATTCGTCGACACTAAGAAGCGACTGAATGAGGCAAAATAATGACTGGGATACGGCGCTAATGCATTTCGTACATGTGGAGGCATTTTTACATATATAATTCATTATATCATACTTAAATCTAATGAGATTGAATGACAGTGGCGGAAGTAGGTTAGGCATTACCGGTAGTTGTGTGGTCATATTCACATTTACCTGAGGGTATCTTGACATTTAAGTTAGCGTTCACGCACCACACAGATTTATATAAAACAGGCGTCCTAATTGGCATACGCTTACAGATTCGATTGTTAAACCAGGCATATTTAGCCCATACGCTTATCCATTGAGCAATATCAATCAGTGTTGGGATCAGGGTGATGTGTCGTGGGCCTTTATCACGTTCTAACGAATGAACCTGGAAAGTTGTTGTGCTAACGAATGAACCTTGAAGGTCGCCAACATTTTGAGGGGGAGAAGAGCGGTTTCACAATCGAAAAACGGATCTTCAAGTTATAATGTTCTATAACCAGTGGTTTATAGGTAATTGGATGATACGGCATGAAGTGTTGTTTTCAAGTGATTGTTCAGCGGGAGGCAAAACTATGTACTTGATCTATGAAGTGTTAACTACCTGTAAGAATATCCACCGGACCATTAGACTCCGCTTCGATCTTGTTGTGGAATTGCTTATGTTGCTGATTTCCTCCCCCGAAATCTAGTTCTCTGAGTCACATAATCGCAATCGAGTAAAAGAGGTCTTGAAAGAAAAGGACATACCTCGAAACAAGATTGGAATCCATTTCGCATGGTATCGACTGCTTTTGATTCGTCTCTCGAAAAGCAGTGGTACGTGCAGGAAAAAGGCAACTACTATTACTCCATGGTGGTCTTCTACTCTAGGAACTTACGCCCAAAATATGGTCACGGCCGTTCTTGTCGGCATTTCACTCGGATGCTCCACATCTGCATCTCGTTCTGAGAAACTCGTCTGTGATAAGTCAATACCAGATGTCCAAACGAAAGCGAGAACTTCGCGAGTTACACAAGCTGTTTCGGAAATTGCTGGAGGGGTTCGAAGAGATGGATATATGAAAATAAGATCCAAAATAATTGTTTTGCATATGTATAGCTTTTCAATACATTTTTCAAGGTGTCTATAGCGTAGAGCACTGGAAAAATAACCATTGCGCGGCATGGAAGAGATTCAAGTGCTCTACAACTATCACGCGAATTCAGCTCGCCTTACATTTGCTTTGACCATCCAACATAAGTATCACGCAAACGGGACCCGTGGCAATGATTTATGATTACACACCCGTGGTGTCATTTGGAGAAACCTATACATATGTGTATGCCTCCATATGTATGTATGTATGTATGTATGTATGTATGTATGTATGTATGTATGTATGTATGTATGTATGGATGGATGGATGGATGGATGGATGTATGTATGTGTGGATGTATGTATGTATGTATGTATGTGCATTTATGTATACTATATGCTATAAATGTTTGTATTCATATGAATAGTTAGAAAGAAACTAGCTAACCGTTCAGTCTCGACATTACGACAGGGTGCCGTTTTCGTATGTTGTATGGAACTGATGTCTAACAAGCCATGCTCAACCTTGGCTTGTGCCAGAATTAATGTTTGTAGAAAGAAGTGATAGTATTTGGAACGTTCGAAAAATTTGTTGTTCATTGCAGCGAGACAGCTTACCTCCAATATGTACGCATAATATGCTCGACAGCGCAAACGATCCTGTACTCCAAGCATTGCGACGAGTACATCTATTCAATCATGATCATGATCGAGTGAAGGTGAGTCCCTGCGTTGTACTATTACCTTCGATTTCAAGGTCAGATCTTTGTGCATGGATTCAAAAATCGCACCGGTTTTTCGCCTAATTCATCATTTCAAATAAGGCGACAGGCATCGTGCGAATGATGAGCCACCTGGCTGGAGATCGTCAGTCATTTCGCTTTGAGATGAATGAGTCGTTAAGCCCGAGATTTTGGACTAATGTGATCGAAAATTCGTTACTCTTGAAAAGCTCTTGCAACGATTAGTTAGAAGTCAGTGGTTGTTCATGAACATGGGGATGTGGTACAATCAGGTTTTTTTGTTGAAAATCGACTAAATCCAGCTGTTCACTCTTTTTTTGGTAGAAAATATAGCTTATACCCGTCTATTATACGACTGACCTTTCAGGTGCCAACTGAACCTAACTAGTGATGATCACGAAGCTCGTTGGAATTTTATTTCAGCAACTTGGAAAATAGAAGGTTCTGAAGGCTCCCCAAAGTATCATAGAACACTGCATTGAGCATTAGCAACACTTCTATTGTAGTATTGAGAGGTGTTCATAGTTTACAAGGAACAGAAACTGTTGAAAGTGTAGGTCGCTTTAGAGTCTGAGGTACCGCCTTCACGGAAATTTGCTGCAGAGAACTATTTTTCGGGGCAATCTCAAGCTTGCCAAATTAGGCTGTTGCTCATGTCTTTGTTAAGACGGAGTGCTCAGATTTTTGACGGCCCCGAATTACTTTGCTTTTCGTACCGTCTTTCAAGAAAAAATCTGAACGTGGGACTCGGCATTGAAAACGAGTTGTTTTTCGAGTTCATTCTGCTGCCCAGTCTCGATTTTTTTCTAAACTTGCAACGCAGTGCCGATTACGAACTCCCATTGGACTCGGTTTGCGGCTTCGTCTTGCACCACAAGAAGCAAGAATGTGTCACAGGAGAGTGAAGCTGAATAGATGTCAGTGGGAGGGGTTGTGGGAAGTTTAGTTTTTTATTGCGTAGAAAAGTAGGAAGTTGGTATGACTCTCGAGTTCCTGCTGTTTCTAGAAACTCTCGGAGCAGCTGAATCAGATCCGTCCATCAGAAAAAAAGAGTGACCAGGAGTCTAATCTTTCGGTTCACGAATACTAACTGCTCTAAAGAAAAATTTTCGAGTGCGAATTTAGCGGTTGTGCGTGGCATGGTGATCAAGGAAAGGTATAACAAAACCTTACCCTTTTCACTTGATGTGTATTAACTGCTTTTGGTTCGCCGCGTACGTGAAGCGAACGTTCCACAAGGTTGGTCAGTTTTGGACAAAACTTCGGTCTCGGACGGGATGCAGACACTCCAGAGGTTTTCTAAGACATTAATTTCTTCCCTATCAATGGACATTACAGACCTTATAGCAGGTGTCGTTTGAGTAAATTGTTTTTGTTTGAATTCATGCGGTCCGGTTCTGTCATTAAAAATGAGTACCATTGTAGTGAATCCATCACTTACCTTGATGTCAATTTTGCAGCACGTAGAATTGAGCATTTGTCGCCTATGCTATATCGACGTCGTCATGCTGCTGTTATTTGTGAGGGATTTTTCCCTAATCCCTGAAGGTTATCTCTTTATGAATACGCTTTAAGCTTATCCGATCATCTGGCTCAGTGTTGCCTGTATCATCCTGTATGTAGCATGGGGACTACGGTGTTCATCGTGGGCGCACCATATCGTGTTGATAACGCCAAAACCTGGTCATCTGATCGTGTAAAACTTCGTGACTTCAAGATCAGGCACGATGAAAGCACAGCGATAACATTAGCCTACCACTAAACATTGAGTAATGTTCCATCTCAAATGCTCCGAGGAGTACGATGGTACAAAGTTTGATCATTCAAGAAAAGTAAATATATGTAGACGTTTCTTGACAAAAATGTCAAATGTTGATCAGGACCTTTAATCATACTCTGCACGAGGTTCTCATGAGTGCATTACATGAAATCTCACATGAGAAGTATTCGTTTCCTTACGAAGCCTGTTACAACTCATGCTGCTTGGAAGAAGCGGATTTGTATTAAGATGTTGAACAAGGCTGATTATGTAAAGAGAGAGCTCGAAAGGTGATTTTCGTCTGCCAAAACCCACCACCTGCAAGGCGCAGCAGCAAAAAGCTAGTAGAACTGAGCAATCCTAGCAGTATTGTGATGAGTGAGCGATTTTCTAAAACTTCATCTTTGTGAAAATCTCACTATTTAGCTAGGTTTTCTTTATGGCAAGTAATTACACATGATTCTAGCGGTCTATTTTTCAACCAAAACTGCGGTATGTTACCACACCATCTTGCTCTGTCGTATCCTGGATACGTTTTGTGGCTACAATCCTGAAGAGGAAGGACCCTCCTGATAGAACGATGAGTACCTAATATGAATGATGCCATACCTTTCACTTTCTATAGGGAACTCTTGATGATTTTTTCCTAGTAGGCTTCGGTGCAATTTGGGTAAGAAATCATTGCCTAGGGAAGTAATCAAAGAAACATTCGCAGTCACTGAATATTGGTATACATCAATACGCTGCTACGGATTGGTAATGTGTGACGATGTGGGGATTGTAACGATAAGTCAAGAATATAAAAGAGCAGAATTTTCTTGGAAGTAAATTCAAATCATGACTATTCTGCCTCATCGTCGACAGCTCACGCTTTTAAATAATATTCTGAATGCCAGGTTTTTCTTCAGCATATCCGTTTCCACTGATCCCATATATGATCATACAGCAAGAATCATATAACACAATAATTCACAAGTAATTATGTATTCATTTTGTAGAGTCAACGATTTTTTTCTCAGCAAGCTTATTTCCTTGTTCTGTTCTCAATCCTATTTCTTCAGGTTGTTTTCCATCCGGAGTTCCTTTCATCAGTCTCGCCATTGATAGGCTTAGACTATGAAGATTTCGTCCGTGGATGCCATCTAGGAGTCTTCCCAAGTTATTACGAGCCATGGGGATATACGCCAGGTAGTCAACATGAGATTTACTTTCATTGTTTATTGAAATGTCTAATTGCTCAGCATATATCTTCACAAGCTAACTATTTGGATAAAACCTTGCAATTGTTAGTAGCGGGCCTAAAGTTCTGATTAGTTTCCTGTCCCTGTTTCCTATGCAGGCGAAGGTTCATTCTTACACAGAATACGATTTGCAATTGTTTTTTTTTCAAAGGATGTCCTGTCTGAAATCCTGGACTTTGATCCTTATGTAGTTTCATTCCAGCCGAATGCACTGTAATGGGAGTGCCATCAGTGACGACTAATCTTAGTGGTTTCGGTTGTTTCATCAATGAACATGTGGCTGATGCAAAGAGTTACGGTATACAAGTGGTCGACCGCCGCTTTAGAGGAGCCGACGAGTCTATCAATGAGCTTACTGAAGGTCTATACGAGTTCACGTGAGTCTTCAACGCTTTACGAAAATTTATACCAAAGTTAGAATACGAGGGATGAGCCAGCCAAAATGCAGCAATATGCAGCCATTTCTGTAATGCATTGGAACGTTACTAACAATATCTATAGAGAGGAAAGTTTAAATTTTCTTCGTGACCCAAAAGCATTTCGGAAAGTTTCCTGCAACAGTTCGTAAAGCAGTGAATAGATTACGCTCATCCTTTTTCTGATGATTTTCCCACGCTGGCTTCCTCATGACGATCTTAAAGTGCTGCGGAGTAGCGACGAGTGCAATGAATTATACACATCTTGCCTCGGAAGTCCGCTGAGAACAGGCGAAGTAAACTGCTTTTACAATTCGTTTCATTATTGTATCGAACTAGATTAGGTGGGATCATTAACTGATGGTCAAGCGACACCTCAATGAGCTAGAAGGAGGAGAAGATGAAATGAAAGTGGAAGTTGATGTAGTTTGTTAGTTGGCTCGGTGAAATCTATTGCTAGTGATCAAGTAACACTAGTCCATTTCCGGGGGACGGTAAGGTCGTGCGTCCGAGGACGCGCGTGGCAAATTGCGCGGCGAAGCTCGTGGCGATTCAAAGGACCCTGCAGCCTATAACTGCGTCACAAACTTGAAGTAGGATAGTTGGGTATTGTCAGCTGATCCTACTAATCTACTCTACTACAGGTTTGTCCCCCAATGATAAACGCCGCAGTCGTCAAAATTCGTCACGAACTTCGCCGCGCAATTTGCCGCACGCGTCCTCGGACGCACGAATTGACACATATCCGTCCATTTCCAGGTGTTTATCGCGTCGTCAACGTATAATTGTACGTAATCGCACGGAGCGTCTTAGTGAATTACTGGATTGGAAGACGCTCTCAATGGTCTGTTCGTATTACCGCATTATTATCACTAACCGTCATTGTGTTACACCATTAGAAAGTTTCGAGGTGCTAAGTGGGTTCAGGGGAGGGGGGGGGGGGGGGG